TGGTGTTTCCACAAAATTCAATTTACTGTCTAACTGAATTTCTGGCAAAGGTAYAGCTAAATTCGGATCAGCCAAACATTTCTGCAGATTCGACACATGAAAAGTGTCGTGAATCTGCCTCAGCTCTTCTGGTAGCTCTAACTGATATGCTACTGGCCCAATTCGCTTACATATCCTGAACGACCCAACATACCTTGGACTGAGCTTTCCTTTCTTTCCGAATCTGATAACACCCTTCCATGGCGAAACTTTTAGCATTACAAAATCACCTACATCAAATTCAATGGATTTTCGACGATTATCTGCATAACTTTTCTGGCGATCCTGTGCTGTCTTGATTCTTTCGCGGATCTGTTCAATCTTTTCAGAAGTTTCTTGAACAATTTCAGGACCCGTTAGCTGTTTTTCACCCACTTCATTCCAACACAATGGCGTTCGACATTTACGTCCATACAATACTTCATAAGGTGCCGCTTGAATACTGGAATGATAACTATTGTTATAGGCAAACTCTATTAATGGTAAGTGATCTTCCCATGATCCCCCGAAATCAATAGTACAACTTCTCAACATATCTTCGAGAGTCTGAATAGTTCTTTCACTCTGCCCATCAGTTTGCGGATGATAAGTTGTACTTAATCGAATTTCGGACCCCAGAGCTTTCTGTAATCCTCCCCAGAACTTTGAAGTAAACCGACTGTCTCTATCAGAGATAATAGACAAGGGAACACCGTGTCTGGTAACAACTTCTTTGATGTAAATCTGCGCTAGCTTTTCTAAATAGTATCTCTCTTATTGGTAGAAAATGTGCAGATTTAGATAAACGATCCACAATTACCTAAATCGCATCATATCCCTTTGGAGTTTGTGGTTATTTCATAACGAAATCCATGGTAATGTGATCCCATTTCCATACAGGTATTTCCAAAGATTGGAGGCTTCCATAAGGTCTCTGGTGTTCAATCTTGACCTGTAAACATGTTAGACATTGTTCCACATACCGTGCTATATCTCTTTTTAATCCTGGCCACCAATAAAAAGGTTTTAAATCTCGATACATCTTATTGGTACCTGGATGGATAGAGTATCGAGATTTATGACTTTCGTTCAATATTCTACTTCGGATATCTCCAAAATGTGGTACCCAAATTCGCCCTTGAAAGCACATCAGTCCTTGATCATTCTGTTCCAAGGTTGAGATCATTTTACCCAACTTTTCTGTCTTTACAAATTCTTCTTTCACAGCTTCTTGTTGGCACTTCTGAATTTCCTTACGAATATCARGAATYAWATTCATTCTCATTGCTACAGTCTTGATGGTTCCACTTCTTTCCTTCCTGCTCAAAGCATCCGCCACCACATTAGCTTTTCCTGGATGGTAGAGAATCTCACAATCATAATCATTGACTAATTCAATCCATCAACGTTGTCACATATTTAAATCCTTCTGGTTGAACAAATGTTGTAAGCTTTTATGATCAGTATAAATCTGACATTTCGTTCCTAGAAGATAGTGTCTCCATATTTTCAGAGCAAAAACTACTGCAGCTAACTACATATCATGAGTTGGATACTGTTTTTCATGTTCTTTCAGTTGTCTTGATGCATAAGAGATTACTTTTCCTCTTTGCATTAAAACACATCCCAATCCCAACTTTGAAGCATCACTGTATACTACAAAATCTTCAGATCCATCTGGCAGAGTTAATACTGGTGCGCTACAAAGATGATATTTTAAAAGTTGAAAGGCTTATTGCTATTCTCTTTCCCACTAGAATTTATCATTCTTTCGAGTCAATTTAGTCAATGGCACAACTATTTTAGAAAAATTCTGAATGAACTTTCGGTAATAACCAGCCAATCCCAAAAATCTACGAACTTCGGACGGAGTCTTAGGAGCTCCCCATTTTGCAACTGCTTCTATTTTCATGGAATCAACTTTTACTCCTAATTCTGAAAAGACGTGACCCAGAAATTGAACTTCTCTTAACCAGAACTCACACTTGGACAATTTTGCATACAACTTTTCTCTTTTCAACAATTCCAGTAACAGACGAAGATGTTTTGCATGTTCTTCTTCAGTTTTAGAGTATATAAGAATATCATCGATAAATACAATAACAAATTTATCAAGATATTCCTTACATACCCTATTCATCAAGTCCATAAAAGCTGCGGGCGCATTAGTTAAGCCGAATGGCATAACTAGGAATTCGTGATTCCCGTACCTTGTTCTGAATGCTGTTATAGCAACATCTTCTTCTCGGACTTTAAGCTGATGATATCCTGACCTCAAATCAATTTTAGAGAAATAACTTGCCCCCACCAGTTGATCAAACAAATCATCAATTCTTGGTAAGGGGTACTTGTTTTTGATTGTCAATTTATTCAGTTCACGGTAATCTATGCACATTCTCATAGACCCATCTTTCTTTTTGACGAATAAAACCGGAGCACCCCAAGGCGAAGTGCTAGGCCTTATAAATCCTTTATCAGTTAAATCTTTCAACTATGTCGCCAATTCCTTCAGTTCGGATGGAGCTAAACGATACGGAGCCTTAGCTACAGGTGCAGCCCTTGGTACTAAATCAATTCGGAATTCAATAACTCTATTTGGTGGTAATCCAGATAAGTCTTCCGGAAAAACTTCTGGATATTCACTAACTATCGGGATCAATTCTTCCTTTCTTTTCTCTTTCTTTAAATCAATTACATATGCCAAACATCCTTGGCACTTCTTTCGAATACTCTTTCGGGCTTTCATTACTGACAGAATATTAATGCGATGATCCCGACGGTCACCATAAATAATAACTGTTCTCTGGTCTAGCWAAATAATTCTGATCATCTTCTGATTACAATCAATGCTAGCCTGATACTTTGCYAACYAGTCCATACCCACTACTATGTCAAATTCTTTCATTGGCATAGGAAATAACCGGATCGGAAGTTCAAAGTTTTCAATRACAATHAKACAGTYATTGAACACACTAGTAACAGTTTCTTGATTATTAGCAGTATCAACTACTAATTTATCATCAAGCAGCACAGAATTCAGACATGCAATTTGAGCAAATAATGGTGATACAAACGAAAAGTTTGCACCAGAGTCAAATAACACCTTAGCACGTATTGAATTCAGGAGAAATGTATCTGTTACTACATATGGTGATGCTTCCGCCTCATTCTTAGTCATCTGGAAGGATCGTTCCCGCGCCCCTCCTTGTCCTCTTTGGTTCCCAGTAGTTCTTCCCCGATTACCCGATGCATTACTCCCCATTGTTAACTGCGGATTTCTTAGCAAGGGGCAATTCGGTCGAATGTGATCCAGAGAGTTGCAATTAAAACACCTTTTGTTGGTTGGACAATTTCTGGACAGATGACCCACTTCACCACATTTATAACATTTCTTCGGATCCATCTTATCATTACCCTGATGAACTTTCGCACTGCTCTTTTGTTCAGATCTGTTGTCTTATCTCACAGTCTTGGGTCCTCGAAAGGATGAAGGTCCTTCCCATTTTCGTTTCTCAACAACCTTCCCTTCTGATTGTCTATTCTTGTTTCTTTCAGTCACCTCAGCTGCCTATACTGTTAGTGGAAAGGTATTGGGGTTCATAGCAATAACGAATTCCCTAATTGAGGGCTTCAGACCCTAAATAAACCTTTCTATCTTCCTTGATTCGGTTGAAACATAATGTTCGGCAAAACGAGAGTATTCAATAAAATTTTCGGTATACTCCCGTACTGTTTTATTTCCTTGTTCCAGCTTCAGGAAATCTTCCTCCATTTGTCTCACAACCGTTTTAGGACAGAACTAATTCTTAAATCGATCCATGAATTCTATCCATGACATAGTCTGTAAAACATCCGTTCTGGTAGACGATTCAACTTCCCACCAGAATTAAGCATTTGACTTCAATACCGAAACAGCAAATCGCACTTTATCTGTTTCTGGACACCGAATGGTGTTGAACACAGATTCCATCTCCTTGATCCATCACATTGCTTTCACCGGATCTCTCTCTCCAGAGAAGGTTGGTGGTTTACATGCTAAGAATGTCTTAATATCTCCTTCTTTATTATGAGTGATTGGAGCAGAGGGATAAACTTCTACTCTTTCTGTTTCCACTCTAGCAGGTATCCCCATAATAGATATCAGAGTTTCTCATAATTTCCCCATTTCCTCTGCTAACACATCTCTGGTTATATATTCTAGGTGTGGTACCGTTCCTCCCTGAACATTCCCAGAGTGGGATTTTTCCTGCTCAGAATGTATTTCAGCCCGATTCCTTTCCTGAGACTGATTTCTTCCTCTACCTCTTCCACTTGGTCTTCCCCGACCTCTGTTTCCAGCCGTACTAATTGGGAGATTAACCAAAGATTCCTCCCTTTCTTCAGATTCTGGACGAGCTATTCTTTCAGATCTTCTAGTTTGGTTAGACATCTGTAGAATTTAATATTAATATTCACTTATTCACATTCCCAAATATAATAAAGTATTCAAGTTCAGA